GACTCGGGGGCTTCCCACTCCTTCTTTCGAGACCGCACCACACTCACGCCGCTTGGTCGGCCAGTTGCAGTCTCTCTGGCAGACCCCTCTGGGGGCCCTGTCCTTGCTCACTTCTCCACTGTCCTCCCGTGTCCCGCGGCCCCCTCTGGCACCCTGTCTAGTCTTTACCTCCCCTCGTTCTCTACGAACTTGGTGAGTGGTGCTGACCTGCAGGATGCGGGGGTTCACCAGTTCACTCTTGCGAGTCAGCGGGTGACCCACTGCAAAGACGCTCGGACAGGCCGACACCTGGCCACGTTTACTCGTCGGCCGGGGTCGAGCCTGTACACACTGACCACTGTGTCTCCTCCAAATGCTGAGTCTGGTAGGGTAGCTGCGTCGGGTCAGGTGTTTGCTGCAGCGTCCAGGTCTGGTCTTGAGTCTGCCCCCTGTTCATGTCGTCTCCTGTCTCACGAGACTCTCCTCTGGCACCACCGCCTTGGTCACCCCTCTCTGCTTCGCCTCAGAGGCATGGCCTCTCGTCTTCTTGTTTCTGGTCTCCCCCGGTCCCTCCCTCCCCTTCCTTAGGGCCCTGGCCCTACTTGCGTCCCCTGTGTCGAGGGGCAACAGTGGGCTGCCCCTCACTCCTCCTAGTTTCCTCCGTCAGAGGCCCCGTTGCAGACGCTTCACATGGACGTGTGGGGCCCAGCCCGCGTCCGTGGACAGGGTCACGAGCACTTCTTCGTGCTAGTTGTTGACGACTACTCGTGTTACACCGCAGTCTTTCCCTTGCGTAGCCAGGGTGATGTCACTGAGGTGCTGATCGACTGGATCCGCGTAGCGCATCTCCAGCTCAGGCAGAGCTTTGGCTCGGACTTCTCCGTTCTGCGTCTGCACTCGGATAGAGGCGGAGAGTTTTCCTCTGGCCTTCTGAGAGCCTACTGTCGCGCACGGGGCATCCGTCAGACCTTCACGCTTCCGGACTCTCCGCAGCAAAATGGGATTGCTGAGCGCCGTATTGGCATGGTCATGGACGTCGCTCGTACCTCTATGATGCATGCGCCTGCCCCTTATTTCCTGTGGCCGTTTGCGGTCAGGTACGCGGCGCATCAGATCAACCTTCACCCCAGGGTTTCCAGGCCGGAGACCTCCCCAGCCTTGCTGTGGACGGGGAAGGTTGGCGATGCGTCGGCGTTCCGGGTCTGGGGATCTCGGGCGTTTGTCCGCGACTTGTCTGCAGACAAGCTGTCCCCTCGTGCTGCTCCTTGCGTCTTCCTGGGGTTCCCCCCTGACGCGCCTGGGTGGCAGTTCTACCACCCCACCTCTCGCCGTGTTCTGTCCTCCCAGGACATCACGTTTGACGAGTCGGTCCCCTACTACCGCCTCTTCCCCTACCGCACTCCGTCCCTCCCCTCGCCCCCGCTCTTCCTTGTACCAGGTCCCCCCCAGGTAGACCCCCTCCCCCCTCAGGGTCCTGCCCCTTCAAGTGTGTCCCAGGTAGACGCAGTCAAGCCTGTCGAGGTCACTGGTAACTCTGGTGCTGCTGAGGGTGCTGAGCCTGGGGGTGCTGAGCCTGGGAGTGCTACGCCTGAGGGTGCTTTGCCTGGGGGTGCCGGGCCTGGGGGTGCTGAGCCTGGAGGTGCTCCGCCTGGAGATTCTCAGGGTGCTTCGTCTCGCCGGGAGCCACTCTCTCCACAGGAGCTGCGCGAGTGGTTTGCCCGGCGCTGGAGCCGTGCTGCTGGTGCTGGAGGTTCTTCGCCTACTGGGGGTGCTGAGCCTAGGGGTGCTGAGCCTAGGGTGCTGAGCCTGGGGGTGCTACGCCTCAGGGTGCTGAGCCTGGGGGTGCTGAGCCTGGGGGTGCTGAGCCTGGGGGTGCTGAGCCTGGGAGTGCTACGCCAGGGGGTGCTTTGCCTGGGGGTGCCGGGCCTGGGGGTGCTGAGCCTAGAGGTGCTCCGCCTGGAGGTTCTCCGGGTGCTTCGTCTCGCCGGGAGCCACTCTCTCCACATGAGGTGCGCGAGTGGTTTACCCGGCGCTGAAGCCGTGCTGCTGGTGCTGGAGGTTCGTCTGCTACTGAGGGTGCTGCTGTCGCGGGTCCCGGAGGTGCTCGTCCTGGGAGTACTGGAGCTGCTGGGCCTGCAGGTTCGACTGGAGCTGGTGCTGCTGAGGGTGTTGGCGCTGAGACTACCACTGGCGGTCCTACTGGGGGTGCTCCTGGTGCTGCTGGAGGCTCTGGAGCTCCTGGAGGTGCTGCTGGAGCGGGTGCTCCTGCTGGAGGTACTGGTGCTGTCCCTGCTGTTTCTGGCGTCGCCACGCGGCCTCGACCGTACTTCGTTCCACTCCTGCAGCAGGTTCTTGGTTTTCCACCTTCTACTGGTCCTCCTCCCTTAGCATGTCCACAGCCTGTCCCGTCACAATTACAGTTGCAGCCTACCTCCCCTTTGCCTGCTCCTTCTCCCTACACTGGTCCTATTGGGGGTCTTGCTGAGCGTCGTGAGCCTGCGTCTCTCCCTACGTCGCCTGTCCGTGCTGCTCGCGCTAGTGGTCGTGGTTCGCGTCCGCGTCCTCCTCCTGTCCCTGGCACGCACAGGATGTCTCTGCGTCCGTCCACTGCTCCTCTGCGTGCCCCTTTGCCTTCTCCTCCTGAGTCCTCTCTTCCTGCTCTTGCCGACCCGGAGTCGGACTCTCTTCGTGCTGCCAGTCCTACTGTCACGCGTCTCCTTGCTACTGTCGTCACTGACCCTTCTTTCAAGTCCACTGCTGCGTCTGCCCTAGTTGCTGAGCTCGTCGACTTTGCTGCTCGCTGTCGCCTAGACTACGCTGCCAGTCTTGTTGCTGAGTCTGAGTCTGTCTGTCCTCCGTCCGTCGGGGGTGAGTGTGCCCTCGGCACGGACGTCCTTGAGGACAGGCAGGAGGAGTTCCAGTGTCTGGCAGCTGCTTCACCTCATCTCGTGTCCGTTCTGCTTACCCCTGAGGTAGACCCGGATGCACTTGACATCCCAACTCCGCGCTCTTACGCGGAGGCGATAGAGGGTCCCTACTCCTCTCAGTGGCAGGCTGCTATGGAGGCAGAGATGGCTTCCTGGAAGTCCACAGGCACCTACGTTGACGCTGTCCCCCCTCCTGGGGCGAACATTGTTAGTGGCATGTGGATTTTCAGGGTGAAGCGGCCGCCGGGTTCTCCGCCTGTCTTCAAGGAACGTTACGTGGCTCGTGGCTTCAGTCAGCGGCAGGGAGTTGACTACTTTCAGACCTTCTCCCCCACCCCGAAGATGACCACTCTTCGGGTACTGCTGCACGTTGCTGCTCACCGTGACTACGAGCTGCACTCTCTCGACTTCAGCACAGCTTTCTTGCAGGGCAGCCTGCACGAGGAGATCTGGCTGCGCCGCCCACCTGGCTTCACTGGGTCTTTCCTTCCTAGTACCCAGTGGAGTCTCCGGCATCTAGTCTACGGTCTCCGCCAGGCGCCACGTGAGTGGCACGACACACTGAGGACTACGCTTGCGGCTCTTGGGTTTGCTGCTTCTACTGCCGACCCGTCGCTGTTTCTGCGCACCGACACCTCTCTGCCGCCGTTCTACATCCTCGTGTACGTCGACGACTTGGTCTTTGCCACAGCTGACACTGCTGGACTCGCCTACGTGAAGTCCGAGCTGCAGAAGCGACACACGTGCACAGACCTGGGGGAACTGCGCAGCTACCTTGGCTTGCAGATCACCCGGGACAGAGCACGCCGCACCATTACCCCGACTCTGTCACACATGGTGCAGCAGGTCCTTCAGGGCTTTGGCTTTACGTACTCCTCGCCTCAGGCCACTCCTCTGCCTACTCGCCACTCACTCTCAGCTCTGCCTTCGGATGAGTCCGTAGAGTCGAGTGGCCCGTATCCAGAGCTTGTTGGCTGCCTCATGTACCTGATGACCTGCACACGACTTGACCTCGCATACCCTCTTAGCATTCTTGCACGCTATGTTGCTCCTGGGAGACACAGACCAGAGCACATGGCTGCAGCGAAGAGGGTGTTGCGGTACTTGTGCAGTACGTCGGGCATGGGGCTAGTGCTTGGAGGGCGGAGTCCAGTGGTCCTCACTGGGCACGCAGACGCTTCTTGGGCTGACGGCCAGGCTACGCAGCGGTCGTCCCAGGGTTACACCTTCAGCCTTGGTTCCGGCTCTGTTTGGTGGCGGGCTACTCGCTCGTCTTCTGTTCTCGGCTCCAGTTGTGAGGCTGAGATCTACGCTGGGGCCATGGCTGCACAGGAGCTTCGCTGGCTCACCTACCTGCTGACCGACCTTGGAGAGCCGCCTCGTTCTCCTCCAGTCCTGTACGTAGACAACAAGGCCATGCTGGCCTTGTGTCGAGAGCAGAGACTGGAGCACATAACAAAGCACATTGCTCTCCGCTACTTCCTTGCTCGTGAGCTACAGCAGCGTGGTCAGTTGTGGCTTGCGTACGTGGCCTCTGAGGCCAACACTGCTGATGTTTTCACCAAGGCACTTCCGCCTTGTGATCATCAGCGCTTCTGCACTCAGCTGGGCCTTGTCCCTGTCTTGCCTCACTTGCTCACCCCTTGACCTTGTTTGTACTGTTACGTATATATATACCTGCTCTTTCTTGTCTAGCCTTATATATATATGTAATCCTGCATGTGAACTGGCCTTATGGCCTTGAACTTTTGCTCGGAATGTGTGGTGACTTTGTGATCCACCCTGGGCCTGCTTTGCTTTGCTTGACTGGTCTTGTGACCCCTTGTTCTCCCCCACTTTGCCTATGGGGGTGTGTCAGAACATATAGCTTATACATTTGTGTAGGTTGTAGTGGGGTAGCCCATATGGGGTAGAACCCAATTAGGGTTAGTACTTGTACCCAACTCTTTCATAGTTGAATCATTCTCATTTCAATTCTCACAGGGGGAACGTGCGTTCATAGAGGATCTGTTGGACGAGGACGAGCTTGAGGACCTGTTAAACATGGCGGTGCCACGAGAATAGTGGAAGGCGGCCGACTTCGTCGAGGAAGATATGGTTTACGCGTACGTCAACGTACTCGTGTTGGAGGCAATGCGCCACCTGAAAACCCTGGAGGCTAAGAGCACGCTGAAGCTGTACACCTCTTGGATTTACCACTACAAGAGGTGGGCAGCGAAGATGCTGAAGAAAATACGCGACAAGCTTCCCGGTGAGGAAAGAACGAGGCACGTCGACGAAATCGGGCACTGGATCCATGCAACAAGAGCAAGGATTGGGACAACGAGAAGGTGGTCAAACGGAAGTACATCTGGCTGCACGACCCGCGTGTCATTGAGACGCGACTGCGCGCCTACATCAAGTTCTTAAGGCGGGAGTACAAGATCGACGCTGAGACGAACGCGTCGGTGAAATCGAACACGGTGCACATTCTCCTCGGCCGCATCAAGGCCTGCCAGATGGCGGCGAGGGTGGAGGCAACTCTCTTCAAGGAGAAGGAGTTGGGCATCATGCGGGAAATCTCGGTGGTCCGGTCGGAGGTGCGGGTCATGGTCTGCACAAAAAATCAGAACGACGTCAGATAAGTTGGCATACATACCCGAGCTCTGTCTCCTTTGATTTGTGGTCGACGACGTAAGACACATCTCTTCTTATTGCTTCGTCGACAGGAATTGCGCGGACCGTCGACACGGCACCATCGGCGACACATACACCGCCGAACAGTTCCGCCAAATCATGATGAGGGTGCCAACCTGGGCGGCGTCGGCGTGGAACCTGCTGTCAGAATATTATTCTTATGTTCTAGCCTGTAGTGGGGTGCTCTATAGCGAGTACAACCCTTCTAGGGTTTGCTATTTGTATCCCCATTTCTGCTAGTTCATTCCTCTTTCTTTCTTCTAATTTTGTCATGCTATCAGAGCAGGTCGATCCCTTTGGATCGATCCTGTGGGTGGGTTACCACCTCGCTTCCGCTGCTACCTTTCCCTTCCCGCCGTGCGCCCCGAGGCGCGCGGCGGTTTTCCTTCCCGCCGTGCGCCCCGAGGCGCGCGGCGGTTTTCTTCCCGCCGTGCGCCCCGAGGCGCGCGGCGGTTTTCTGCCCGCCGTGCGCCCCGAGGCGCGCGGCGGTTCATTGCCCGCTGTGCGCCCCGAGGCGCGCGGCGGGCTTCTCCTCTACGTCGCGGCCCCGCCCTGGCCCGTCGCCGCCCGTGCGCCTGCCCGGCTCGGCCCCGCCCTTCGTCGCGGCCCCGCCCCGGCCCGTCGCCGCCCGTGCGCCTGCTCGGCTCGGCCCCGCCCTACGTCGCGGCCCCGCCCCGCTCGTCGCGGCCCCGCCCCTTGTCGCGGCCCCGCCCTCCAACCAGGCCCGTTGTGGGCCCCTTTCACCACACCGCCTCCCCCCCCCCCCCTGCCATTTCCCGTCGCCCGTCGCGGCTCCTTCGGGGGCCGCAGCTGTGGGGTGGCAGGTATGGGGGTGGCCGGTGTGCCTTCCTCCCTTTCTCCTCCTCCTCCTTCGTCTCCCACTGCTGCAGCTGTCGCTGAGGGGGGTGGTTGTGTGGGAGATTGGGTTTAGGGTTTAAGGGGGGTGCGTGGGAGTGGAGCTAGCGGTGTAGCAGTGGGTGTGTATGAGGGGGGTGGGACTGTGTGTGGGAGGTTGAGCGGAGGTTGCCAGTTTGTCGTCCGCAGCACCTGTAGTCCGGGGCGCTGTCCCGGTAGCCCAGTGAGCTTGTCGCTGAGCCGGTCGCCTGTGGGTCCGTTGCCCGTCTGCCGCTACTTGAGCCGCGGGGCCTGTTACTCCCGTAGTCCGGGGCGCTGTCCCGGTAGCCACTGTGCTCGCCACTCCTGTTGCCCGTGTGTCTGCAGCTTCAGCCGCCGCCTTCTATCTCCTCTCCTCTCACTCTCCCTCCTCCTCCTCACTTGCCCGTTGTGACCACTGCTAGCTTTGCTCATAATTGTTAACTTTGAACTATTTCTTCTTGACCTTGTGCTCAGAATGCGTGGTGACATTGTGATCCACCTTGAGCTTGTACTGTTTTGCCTGCTCTGCTGATTACACCCCACTTTGGCTATGGGGGTGTGTCAGAATATTATTCTTATGTTCTAGCCTGTAGTGGGGTGCTCTATAGCGAGTACAACCCTTTTAGGGTTTGCTATTTGTATCCCCATTTCTGCTAGTTCATTCCTCTTTCTTTCTTCTTATTTTGTCACCTGCGGGCAACCACTCCTTCGTAGACGCTGTGGAGGTTTTTTCTCGTGAAGGTGGTAACGCTATTCTCCCTCCACAGTCTCCTGCGCGGGGCTAGCATCCGCGAAAACACACTCCCCGACATCTTCTTGTACCGACTGGCTAGCACCTTGCCGGTGAACCCGGAAAACCAGCCGGCCGTCATGGTGATCGCCGCGCGGAACTCGAAGACGTCCAAGGATGCGCGTCTTCAGCAGAGCTACACGGCGCGGCACCTCGAAGCGGAGTTGTGCGCCGTCGGCGAGACCAGCCTGTGGCTGCACTTCATCCTCGACCAGATCCGTCAGTTTCACGACGTCGACCTCATCCCGCCGGTGGACACCAGCACGCGCGAGCGCTGGTACAAGAAGCACCTGTTCTTTGCCCGCAACGACGAGGAGCAAATGGAACTCCCTGCTGCCAGCCGCCAGCGATGGACGAGGCAGATGTGGAAGACGAACGGTGTGTTCTGCAAGCGGAACATCCACGCCGCTCGAGCGGGCGGGGCGCAGGAGCTGGCCATCGACGGTACGTCTCGCGCCGAGATAGCCGAGCTGGGTCACTGGGCGATCGACAAGATGACTCGAGCTTATATCACCGCCATTCCCATCGGCGTGGTGATGAAGAAGGCCGGCTATTCGGGTGCCAAACAGGACTATTTCTTGGGTCGCAGCAGGGTGGAACCCATCGATGAACTCCTGGCGCTCATCGCCGAGCACATCTTCCCGTGTGTTGACAACCTGGTTAAGAAGGTATTTTAATCGACGCCGCCTACGTTACAACCTAGGGTTAGACCTTCGTTACGCCGCCTGCTTTAGGGTTTAGACCTAGTATCGTTCGACTGGCCAACTGTAATCACCCGCTTCTGTTGTCAAATTGCAGGCAGAAGAACTCGCGAAAATGGGGTCCGAGGCCGACTTTGCCGCCGTGCATTTCTGGCGCACCCTCCAAATCATGCGCCGCATTGTCGCCGAAGACCTCGCTGTGAAACTCGTCCGCACCCCTTGGCATCCGTACGTCCAATATTCCAAGCTCTGCAGGATTCCCCTCTTCCAGCACTGGGCGAAGAGGGTCGAGAAGCTCGACACCGAGACAATAAAAAAGCGCCGAGACCCGACCCTCATTCCGCCCGAGGTGAGCCATCGATCAAGTCGACGTTGCTTTAAGCCTATTGAACACAACACCCCCTTACATTCTACATCAATTGCCGACCATTGCAGGAGATATTTGTCCGCTTGGACGCCGAACACGCGGTCATGTCGCTCACCGAGACACTGAAGTACGAGAGGGAAAGGTCGGCGATCCAGAAGATAGACCTCGAATGATATCGAGAAGCGCGACGCGATCATTGCGACGCTGACGGCAGAGATAACCCGCCGCACCGAGGCACTCCGCGTCTCAGAAGCAAGGAGGATGCCAGAGGCGCCGCCAGCTGCGAACGAGCAGTCGCCGAGCGACGGTGGCTTCGCGGACTCGGCAAGCACGCGTTCCGGAGCCAAGAAACCCCCGAAACCCCCACAGACGGTCAAAGAGGCTAGTTACGAGCTCAACGTGGTGTAGCCTTGGCGGGATGCAACGACAATGAGGGACGTGTGGCGCCTCTGGACCTCTTGCACCAGCGCCGACACCCGTCGTCTGTGCGACAGGTTCGCAGAGCCGGGGTTCGTCGACCGCCACACCCTCCTCAAAGGCGCGACGCAGGGAGCACTCGAGAAGAGGGTGCGCCGCATGATGAAGGTCATTGATGCATTGCGCCATCTTTGCAGGAGCGACGGCGAGGCCGACACAGAAGCGGTCGACGCAGCGCTTAACAAGATAGCGGCGCCTAGCATTGAGACCTGTTAGAATACTAGGCAGGAATGGATGAAATATGAAAGAGTTGGGTACAAATATGAAACCCTAGAAGGGGTTGTACCCCATATTGGCTAACCCACTAAAGCCTAAACATATATAGCATATATATAATTTGACACACCCCCATAGGCAAAGTGGGGGAGAACAAGGTGTCACAAGACCGGTCAAGAAAAGCAAAGCAAGCTCAGGGTGGATCACAACGTCACCACACAATCTGAGCACAAGCCAAGGGCCACAAGGCCAGTCCACATGCAGATATATATATGCAAAAGCAACAGTACAGTGATCACTACCTAATAAGTGCAGGTATGCCGGTATACAATATAGATCACAGTGCAGGCAAGATCAAGAATTAAGTAAGTGAGAAGACACAGGAACAAGGCCAAGTGTAGTACAGAAGCGCTGATGGTCACGAGGCGGAAGTGCCTTGGTGAACACATCAGCATTGTTGGCCTGAGAGGCCACGTAGGCAAGACGAAGCTGACCACGCAGCTGCAGCTCCCTAGCAAAGAAGTAGCGAAGCGCGATGTGCTTCGTTCTGTGCTCCAATCTCTATTCGCGACACAAGGCAAGCATTGCCTTGTTATCGACGTACAGAACTGGAGGAGAACGAGACACCTCACCCAAGTCGGTCAGCAGGTAGGTGAGCCAGCGCAGCTCCTGTGCAGCAATGGCCCCTGCGTAGATCTCAGCCTCACAGCTGGAGCTAAGAGCGGAAGAAGAGCGGGTAGACCGCCAAGAGACAGAACCGGAGCCAAGGCTGAAGGTGTAACCCTGTGACGACCGCTGCGTAGCCAAGTCGTCAACCAAAGAAGCGTCTGCGTGACCAGTGAGGATAACTGGACCCCGTCCTCCAAGCACGAGCCCCATGCCTGACGTACTGCACAAGTAACGCATCACCCTCTTAGCTGCCTTCCAGTGCTCTAGATGGTGTCTCCCGGGCGCAACGTAGCGTGCCAGGATGCTAAGAGGGTAAGCGAGGTCAGGGCGAGTTTAGGTTATCAGGTACATGAGGCAGCCCACAAGCTCAGGATACAGACCACTCGGCTCTACGAACTCATCCGAAGGCAGAGCTGAGAGCGAGTGACCGGTAGGCAGAGGAGTGGACTGTGGCGAAGAGAACTGGAAGTCGAAGCGCTGAAGGACCTGCTGCACCATGTGTGACTGGGTCAGAGTGATGGTGCGGCGTACTCTGTCCCGAGTAATCTGCAAGCCAAGATAGTTGCGCAGCTCACCCAGGTCTGTGCACGTGTGTCTCTTCTGCAGCTCCGACTTCACTAGACTCAGTGCCTCAGTGTCAGCAGTAGCAAAGACCAAGTCGTCGACGTACACGAAGATGTAGAACGGCGGCAGAGAAGTGTCGGTGCATAGAAACAGCGACGGGTCAGCAGTGGAAGGAGCAAACCCAAGAGCCGCAAGTGTAGTCCTCGGTGTGTTGTACCACTCACGAGGTGCCTGGCGGAGACTGTAGACTGGGCGCCGGAGGCTCCACTGGGTACCAGGGGGAAACGACCCAGTGAAGCCAAGTGGGCGGCACAGCCTGATCTCCTCGTGCAGGCTGCCCTGTAGAAAGGCTGAGCTGAAGTCAAGAGAGTGAAGCTCGTAGTCACGCTGAGCAGCGACGTGCATTAGTACCCAAAGAGTGGTCATCTTCGGGGTGGGAGAGAAGGTCTGAAAGTAGTCAACTCCCTGTCGCTGACTAAAGCCACGAGCCACGTAACGCGCCTTGAAGACAAGCGGAGAACCCGGCGGCCGCTTCACCCTGAAGATCCAAATGCCATCGACGATGTTCGCCCCAGGTGGGGGAACCTCGTCAACGTAGGTGCCTGTGGACTTCCAGGAAGCCATCTCTGCATCCATAGCTGCCTGCCACTGAGAGGAGTAGGGACCCTCAACCGCCTTTGCGTAAGAGCGCGGAGTCGGGATGTCTAGTGCATCCGGGTCTCCCTCAGGGGCAAGCAGCATGGACACGAGAAGAGGTGAAGCAGCAGCCAAACACTGGAACTCCGCCTGCCTGTCCTCAAGGACGTCCGTGCCAAGGGCACACTCACCCCTGATGGACGGAGGACAGACAGACTCAGACTCAGCAACAAGACTAGCTGCGTAGTCTAGACGACAGCGAGCAGCAAAGTCGACAAGCTCGGCAACTAGCGCAGACGCAGCAGCAGACTCAAAGAAAGGGTCAGTGACAACAGTAGCCAGGAGACGCGTGACAGTGGGACTAGCAGCACAAAGGGAGTCAGACTCCGGGTCAGCAAGGGCAGGAAGAGAGGACTCAGGAGGAGACGGCAGAGGGACACGCTGTGGAGCAGTGGAAGGACGCAGAGTCATCTGGTGCGTGCCAGCGACAGGAGGAGGACGCGAACTACGACGCCTAGCGCTAGCAGCATGAACAGGCAACGCTGGACGAGACGTAGGCTCACGACGCTCAGCAAGACCTCCTGTCGGACCAGCGTAAGGAGACCGAGCAGGTTGTGGGGAGGTGGGCTATAGTTGTGACTGTGACAGGACAGGCGGTGGACACTCTAAGGAAGGGGGTGGACTAGGAGAAGGCGGGAGACCAAGAACCTGCTGAAGGAGCGGAACGAAGTACGGCCATGGCCGCTCAGCACCCCCAGAGCCAACAACAGCACCACCAGCAGCTCCAGCAGCACCTTCAGCAGCTCCAGCACCAGCAGCACCAACAGCAGCACCACCAGCAGCTCCACCAGCTCCACCAGCTCCACCAGCTCCACCGGCAGCTCCAGCAACACCTCCAGCAGCTCCAGCAGCACCACCAGCTCCAGCAGCACCACCAGCTCCATCGGTAGCTCCAGCAGCACCTCCAGTAGCTCTAGCACTAGCAGCACTAATAGCAGTACCACCAGAAGCTCCAGCAGCACCACCAGCTCCAGCGGCAGCTCCAGCAGCTCCAGCACCAAAAGCACCACCAGCAGCACCCCCAGAACCAGAACCAGCAGCTCCAGGGACGCCAGCTCCAGTACCTCCAGCAGCCGCACCCCCAAACCCGGTACCTCCAATAACAGAGTCTACCGCAGGACCTCCTCCAACACCACCGGTCCCGGCAGCTCGAGTACCTCCAGTACGAGCACCTCCAGGGCTTGTGGTAGCACGAGTCTCTCCAGTGCCAGCTGCAGTACCGCCAGCTCCAGCACGCCTCCCCAGTCGTTGACGAACCGCAAACCACTCTCGCAGCTCCGCTGCTGATAGGGGCCGGTGAGAAACCGGTCCAGCACCCTCAGGCTCAGTGAGCCCAGGCTCTGCACCCTCCAGGACCACACGCACCTGCACAGCACCCCCAGGCTCCGCACCCTCCAGCACCTCATGCACCGGCTCAGCACCCCTACGCTGCGCACCCTCCAGCACCTCACGCACCAGCTCAGCAGCCTCAGGCCCCGCACCCTCCAGAACCTCACGTCGTGGCTCAGCACCTCCAGACGCAGCACCTCGAGCAGTACCACCCTCAGCATCACCTGAGTCGCTAGTGACCTCGACAGGCTCAGCTAAGGGAGGTGGGTCTACCTGAGACACACCTGAAGGAGCAGGACCTTGGGGGGGAAGGGGGTCTACCGGAGGGGGACCTGGAGCGAGGAAGAGCGGCGGGGGAGTGAGAGGGGTAGTGCGGTAGGGAAAGAGGCAGTAGAAAGGGAATGACTCGTCAAAGGTGACGTCCGGAGAAGATAGGACACTGCGCGAGGCGGGGTGGTAAAACTGCCAGCCAGGCGCGTCAGTCGGAAAGCCGAGGAAGACACAGAGAAGGGTGCGGGAGGAGAGCTTGTCCGCGGACGTATCGCAAACAAGAGCACGGGCACCCCAGACCCGGAACACCGGCGCATCACCAATCTCCCCCGTCCACCGCAGTGTGGGCGAGGTCTCCGGAACGGAGACACGGGGCGAGAGGTTGAGC